GGCTGCTCACAAGAGGATCCAAATACCAGAAACGTATTACCATAAAGCCTATTCTCATTAAGGCAGTGGTATTCAACCTCAGGCCCATAGGCACATTCTGGCCTGTAGAACCATATCATCCAGCACTTGGGTCTCCTCATAGGTCCAGAAATTTGGCAGCAATGCAGCACTGACAGCATTAATTACTGTGGCTTCCAAAGCTGCATCAATTAATGCTGCAAACATTTCCAGGCTCATGGGGCATCCCACGGGCTGAATGACATGGTCCCACATGCTAGATTGTGCTGATGTACAGGGTTGCTCCAGAGCCAGATTCAATGTATGGAGCCAGACTAAAACATGAGTTTGCTCTTGGGCCAGATCCAGTGTATAGAGCTGGGCCAGGACACAGGTTTCCTCCCAGGCCAGATACAACATGCTGGTTCAGCCTAAGGATGAACCCTGCATGCCAACCGCACACTGGATCTGGGCTGCACACTGAGCCAACCCATTATGGAGCTCACTGATGTTGCAAGATGTATGCTACACCCATGATGGGTGACACAATTGTCCATGAGACCTGGCCCATGGACCAGCTCTGATCCACTCATCCAGCTTGTGAGGCTGGAAATTTGAGCACCGCTGCTTAGTTGCTCTAGGATCAGTGCAGTACTCCTTCACCCAGAGATTTGGGATCAAACTGAAGTAAAAGTTACATGAGAAAACAAATGCAATATATGATCTAGTTCCCAGCTGTCCAGGTTACCAAACCACTGCATGAGTGGTACAGTTGCCACTCATGGACTGAAATAGAAGAGTTGCTACCAATTGGCTGCATATACACGAGACACTGACTGGGCAGTTGTTACTGCACAGCCATTTATTTAGGGCTGTGTGGTAACCAGCATTATTGTGCAGTACCACTTCCGCATGGCTTTGTGGTGATGCTGACTGTGCAGTAGCTCATTACTGACTGACGTTGTATCACGGTTCATGCCCTGTGATGCTACTGAGCAGTAAAAAGAAGCTACTCCACAGTAATAATAAGCTACTGCACAGTAAGCATCTTGTGTAGATGCGGCCATAAAGACTGAAAGCTACTGGTAGGTCTATGCATGGACAATGCCTACCAGTTATAGACCTGTTTTAAGTAACCTGAAAGACATTAGTCATTGCTTTCCTGAGTAAGAAAATGTATTCATATTATTTTTACAAATATATATATACATGCACATTCTAGATAGGCGATTTGTACTTAAAAGTAAACTTTTTTCAGACTGTACAAACACTTTCTATCAGTACATGTGATTTTTCTTGTTCTGTTTTTCTTTAAAAAATACAGGGCTATTTTAATTGTAGTACCGTAAAAATATAATCAGTGAAAATACAATTTACTATATTGCATTTTTTGGGATCTGAGTGCCACAATATTCATGTTACATGAAGCCATGGAGAATAAATGCACATACCCCATTTATCAGTATATAACACTGCGTGCTTTTCTTTACAAGCACATTTCTCTATAAAACCTCACTGTGCCACGTTAACATCTATACCTAGTTCTACCTGTTGGTGATAACACTGACTGTCTCAACTCTCAGAAACCAAGATTCGGAGCTTGCCCTTTGCCCCATTCAGCCACTGGACAAGAAAACATCAGCTTTTAGGACAAAATGATAATGCTCAAGAATCATCCCTAGCAGGTGGTTCTGAACTGGCTTTTGGCTCAAGGGACCTGATGCTGGTCCCTAAACAATGATCTTAAAGTTGCCTTAAACAGGAAGCTGAGGACTCCCCCAGATCAAGGAAAGCTAGCATCATTTTAACATCAGTCCTCTTTGGCTCCTTATGGGAGATGGGCCAATGTAGCACCACTATTTAAAAAGGGCAAAAAGGAGGACACAGGGAACTACAGACCAGTTAGCCTCACCTCAATACCTGGGAAATTACTCAAGCATAGTGGCTGGCGTGGCATGGGTGCTAAGGCATGTGGTTGACAGCCCAGAGTTTGCAAATTGGAGGGCAAAGCAGAAGTGCTCATGGCACAGCCTGACAGATTCCAAAGAATCTGCTAAATACCCTGTCACAAGGATGTGAAAAAAGAAAGGTATGGAACATATCCTAAGGAAAGGGATTTGCAAGAATCTGGAGGAGGAAGGGCTGGTCACAAGAGCCCCTGTGGATTTATGAAAAACAAATTGTGTCAAAAAAACTTGATCTCTTTCTTTAACAAAGTAACTACTTGGGTGGATAAAGGGAATGCTGCAGAATCAGTGGTTCCCCATCTGGGATACAGGTACCACCAGTGGTACACAGACAATCTGTCAGTGGTATGTGTTAACAGATTTATTATAATTACTTTATATGACAAAAATTTGCTGGTGGTACTTAAGGTTGAACTGAAAAATTTGCTGGTGGTACTTATGATTGTATCGTTTTAAACTGGTGGTGTGCAAACTGTCAGAGTTTGAGAACTGCTGCTGTAGATACAGTGTATCTGGACTTCAGCAAGGCTTTTAACAAGGTCCCACATGACCTTCTCATAAACAAACTGGAGAAATGTGGGCAAGGTAAAACTAGGACTGACTGCACATTTTTGACCACTCAAAGATTTTAGCAACTTTACAAATAAAAATGTTTGTAGTTTCTTAACAGAAATATGATTTTTTAATTGTTTTTTGACACATTTAATGGAAAATTTGTGTTTTTTCTGTGTATTATTTGGACCTATTGGCAATGTTTTACAGTTTTTGATTGATATTTGACTGGTCACTTGGCCAGACTTTATTTGACCAGTCAAATCCCCAACCCTAGATAAAACTACTACAAGGTGGATGGTCCATGTCAGAATGGCAAGAGGTTTCAAGTGAAGTTACACTAGGGTCTGTTCTGGGCCCAATGCTGTTCATCATGTTTATTATGAATCTGGATGCTGGCATAGAAAGCTTTTTGAATAAGTTTGCAGATAACACAAAACAGGGAAGTATTCTGAACACATTGGAGGATGTAAACTCAATTCAGAAAGATCTTGACAGATTGGAAATAGAGTTAATAGAGTTAACAGGATGAAAGTCAATGTGGACAAATGCAAAGTGCTACACCTTGGGAGGAATAATCAAAAACACAAATATAACATGGGTAATACCTGGCTGGATGGCAGCACTATGGAAAAGGACTTGGGAGCCTTGGTAGATAACAGACTCACAAAAGTCAAATATGGTTTTGGGATGTAATAATAGAAGGAGTAGGTGCAAGGCATGGGAGGTGACAGTGCCTCTCTACTCAGCACTGGATAGCCTTTATCTGGAATACTGTGAGAAGTTCTGGGTTTGAAGAAGTTAGAGCAGGTCCAAAAAAGATGATAAAGGGCTTGGAAAGCAAGTCCTAGAAGCAGAGGCTGAAGGAGCTAAGCATGATCAGCTTTTGGAAAAGGTGTTTAACAGTGGACATGATAGGAGTCTACAAACACTTGTAGAGCTGCCATAAAGAAGAGGGAAAGCACCTTTTCTCTCTTGCTGAAGAGAGGAGGATGCAAATCAATGCCTAGAAGTTGCAGCAAAGAAAGTTTAGATTGGATATCTGGAAAAACTTCCTCACTGTTAGTATAGCAAGGCAGTGGTATAGACTACCTAGGAAAGTTGTGAATTCTCCATCTCTGGAGGTGTTCAAGAAGAGGGTGGACAATCACTAGTCGGGGACGTTCTGGGCATAGATATCTATCTACTATAAATATCTCCCATGCTTCTATGGGCTTTATTGGATGCCCCCTCTCCCCTTTTCTGCTGCAAATGTCAGGATGTTTTTAAGCCTTCATCAGAGGTACTGGGTGTTGGCTACAGCCAAGGCTGGAGATTTTGACTGGGGTATTCCAGTGCTTCTGTTGGGACCAAAGCCAAAGGGTCCTGGCTTGAGGGCCTTGCCTCTCTGCTCAGGGTCAGATCAATTGCCATATTTGGTGTCAGGAAGAAATTTTACCCCATGGTCAGATTGGTACAGACTGTGGGGTTTTTTGCCTCCCTCTCTAGAGGGGAGCCTGACCCTCTACCTGGGATCTCTTGAGTATACATTGACAACGTTTCATAAAAGAAGGACATCGGCTGCCATGATCTCCCTTCTTTACCTGAGCAGGTTATGGTATTAGGTCTGTGTTGCATCAGGGTTGACAGCAGTCTTATGTAGAGTTTAGTTTATGGATTTTACAGGTTGGTTTGCATAGGGATCATCCTGCCTCAGGCTAGATGACTTCTCGAGGTCCCTTCTAGCCATTCTACTCTATGATTAATAGTTGTTAAATTAGACCAACTACATGGGAGCTGAGTAGTTTGTACAAATCTGCTCTTGACTAGCTTCAAGATCAACGATGGCACAAAGGTCACTCAAAGTCAGCTGTGCCATCCCCTCAACCAGAGTGTGAGCATGAATAGGATACAGGGTTTTTTTCTGTTTTAATAAACCAGTACCTGGGCTTTAAGCCTACCCTGAAGGCTTTTTTTCCAGAGTCTACCATATAAAACATCCACTTCATACTAACTTTTCTTTTTATTCTTTAATGTTGCACATAGCTATCAGGAGCATCAGTATGAGGTAAAAAATGTTGTAAAACTAATGATAAAGATTCTCTGTCAATAAAAGCAAATACGTCCGCTGATGTTTTAAAGCCATTCACTACTGTGCAGCTGCAGACCCTTCCAGCCACATGCTGGCTCACAACATCAAAATAAAATCAAAAGAGGAGAGGGAACAGATGAGTGACAGAGATTGAAAATAGCCAAAGAGAGCTCTAAAGATGCAAATGTGCACATTAAAGACATTATTTCTGTTGTTCTATTTTTCTAATGATTGAGGTCTAACCCTTTTAACTCAAATCATGGTTCATAAAATAAAATGGAAGGGTCATAACATGCCATTGGTATCATGCCATCAATTCTAGACAGAGCTTACTGATTTCTACTTCAAAATGGTATGAAACTTCTAAACAACTACAACTCTTAGTACAAATGTTTATTAATAAATTTAAGTACCTGTTGTTTCCAAGAATGGGATCCTTGGTTTTAGCATTTATGTCATAAATAAAGCGCTCTTGAAAGATTTCTACGGTATTGACTGCAGTTTCATTTCTTATGATGGTGATAACAGGGTAACCCATCTGTAATGTCCATTGATCCATTACTTCTTGAATATTTACTGATTTTCCAACTTTTTTTAGTGCCTTCAAAGAAAATAAATCAAAATTAGTTTTGTTTTAATATGCTGAAAAAATACTGGCATTTACTACAGAAAACCAGGGAGCCATAAATTGTTCTTAGTGTTTTAATAACAATTAAACATATGTATAAACATGCACGTATCCAGATATGGACTCTCTCCAGTAGAAATAATAAAAAGGGGTCTTCCTCCTGCATAAAGTTAGGGCATCTATATAAAAAAGTAACTTCTGAACTAAAAGGAACAAATACTTTTATACTTTCTTGCATACAACGTACCCCAAAATAAGATACGCACCTTGTTTTTTGAAAGAGAATTAAAAAAAAAAAAGATCTATCCTTGAAAATACTGGTAAGTAGCAGTAATTAACTGAGCAGCAGCAGCTAAGGTGCCCAGAGTGTACATTGTGCACCTCTCTGTGGAGCAGGTGCAGTGATACTTCACTTCCCTGCCTGGTAGAGGCTTACAAACAGAAGCTGCTTTTACCATATTTCCTTACTTATAATGCACACCCCTATTTCGAGCAGCTGATGTTTGGGAAAAGCCGCGTATGTATGTATGATTACAGTATGCCTGTGGTAAATTATGAAATCCAAATTAAAATACAGGATAAGATATTGGATGGGACTTAAGCTCCAATCATTTAGGTACTTTTGAAAATCTCACTTGCAGGTCCTGACCTTCCTCATATTTGTGGCATCCATCTAAACAGTGACCAAGGGTGTCACACTCACTCTTCCCCTTGGGACAGATCTTAGCTGAACACGTCGGAACTGCAGGGTTCCTCGCAGTTTTGATCCAGATGTGGTGGCAAGGCAAGCAGCAGGGCAAGGAGTAGGGGCAGGGGTTAATGCAGCTGCTGCTCATTCTCCTGCGCCCCCCGCCCCCCCGACATACATTGCCAATGGGGCTCTATGACCCAAATTTTGGCAGCAAGATCTTCCTGCTTGCTCTGGCCCCGAACTCCAGCTCCTCTGCCAACCTCATAGGCCGCACAACCTGGCTTTGCAGGCTGGATCCAGTCCCTGGTCCATTAGTTTGATACTCATGCCATATGTAAAACATTTCCATAATAAGCTAAGGCTAAAAAAGAACTTGGTCTCTTTAAGATACATTGACCAACATTTTTAGTAAGGATTACTAATTTTGGATGCCTAGTTTGAGATGCTTTAAAGTAATTGTTAAAATATGGAAGACCTGGCCTCTGAAAAACAGGCTCTTTCAAGATATGCAAGGGCTGGGGCACATACACAATTACACTAGTGCAATTGTCAATGAGTTGCTCATTGATGGAAGCTCCCCTAGGATCCAAATCAAACAGAAAAGCAACTCGTTCCAACGTAGGAGAGACTGTAGGATGCTACTATAACATAATGTAATTTACACTAGTGTACTTTTACCCCTAATTCTTATAGGGGCATGTCTACATCAGCACTGAGGAAGTAACTCTCAGGTAGGAATTGACATCATCTGATTTCTCTGTGTTTACATCATTGTAAGCACATTGTACATCTCTCATACTGGAACCAAAATATAATTTGCAATTGAAAATCTTGGTCCTGACGTCTAAAGCTAAGCCATACACATGCAGACCTCCGCAACACTCTCAAATACAGAAATAACTTATTTTAGTTTAATACAGCTGGTCTCTGCGCAAATCAACATGAGCATAAATAAAATCAGGTGGAGTCTCAGCTGTAATACAGTAAGCCAGACAGAATAGAAGAGTGGCGTCTATTGGGGAAAGAGACTCCATGAGAGTGAGAAACCAGAGACTGCTTGCTCTGCAAACAAGCACACGCATTTGATTTCCTGCTACTGCTGGAATAAGTACAGTTACCTCTGCCGAATCCAAGCAAACTCCAGTAAGAACCTCTCAGAATTAAGTCTTCTTGTAAAACACCCAAGGAGTGTTCAGGATCACAACAAAAAGGCTTATAGGAAGGCAGAACTTTAAGTTCTGTTATCAATAGATTTGACCCTTTCAGTGTGGCATTGTTGCTTATAGCCCAGAATACAGGTGAACTCTTGTGCTTGTATAGTTTTCTGGTTTTTTGCATGATACATATGCAGTTCTCATAGCATATTGATGAGAATTTGGTCTAAACCTTTTTACATAATAAAAGGAAAGGGCCAAAACAAGAAGCTTTACAGAAGCAGCAAGAGGGTCTGTGGGTGTAATTGTAACTGCAGCATGCCAAATGGGCTATTAAATAATTATAGTTTATTGTATAAAATATGGTTGCCAAACTTTAAAACTTTGGCCCTTCAAATAAATATGACACATCAAAAGACTCTGAAATATAAATGCCAAATTATACCTTTTTTCACTCTTTCCTTCTTACCTTGTTACCACTGAAGTCAATGGGCACAGAATCTATTAATTTATTTTTATTAGAGCTCAGTGATATAACACAGACAAGGAGGTATAATGTAGGCCAGGAGTTTAACATTTCAGGAGCAGTGCACCAAAATAACTAAGCTCAGTCTGCACCTGCCAACCCAGGTGCCATTGACACAACTTCTCCCTGCTGCCCAGCTGCCACATAGGCAGAGATCCCAACCATCTAAACTCTGCACAAGTCCCAGTTTCCTGGGCCAAGTAGAGTTACTCTGCAGGCCAGATTCAGCCAACAGGCTCTAGGTTACTGACCCCTGTTCTAGGCAAAGGCAAAAAGGAAATGCTAAGAAAACACCCTTCTGATGTCACTTTCTATAAGGCGAAAAAACATTTTTTTACATAAATTTTTTAATTTGCTCCAGGGCTTCAGAATTTCAATATGCACAATTCACTCCAAACCTCAGCATGGAAAATACCACTGGCTTCCTGATTTCTTCGCAGGGTTATGTTTTATAGTACTTTACCTTTGACAGTATATTCCAGAGATCGTTTCTGGCTGCATTACCATACATGTGAATGGTTAAATAGTCCTACAGAAATAAAATAAAATATAAATCAGTTGATACTATATGCAGGCCAAATAATTATAGCTGTGAACCTTGGCTAGAATAAGTTAAACTACATAAATGTTTTCATTTTTTTAGAAGTCTAAAAATATATAACATATTCTCCCTAAAGGAGTAAATAAATATTTTTTTTGAGATTTTTAACATATAGTAAACTATGATCACATAAATCTCAGTTCAGAAAATGTTAGGCAGTTTACCTCCAGCATTCAGTGCTTTATCTTTTCAATTCATCAATGAAGATTAACATTTCTAAACTATTTATTAATCTTTGTATAATCGCAGAATCTGTTTTGAGGCAATTCTTGGAAATGAGAGGGAAAACCTTTTATAGCAAGGTGGTAAACATCATTATAGCAGGTCATTGGGTGGTTAGCGTCAAGAACCTGCAGAATAATGACATCAAGATTTGTTGCAAAATATTTAACCAAGAAATAGTCCATCAGAGCCATAGTCTTATTTAGAGAGGTCTGGTAGACAGGTGTTTTCTCTCTGTGATTAAATGTCAAAACAAATAATAGTGTCTATTCAAACTGCAGCATGCTCTCTTAAAGTTGTTCCGCCATGGAAACCAACAGAAAAATGTGTATATCAAGTAAACGTGATACCCAAGACAAAAATAATAATTGTTTGCAAGAGATACATTAAAATATCTAACTCAAGGCCTGTAAATTTAGGTTTCCTGTCTACTCCGCCACAATTTTGTTGATTGACTGTCATTGCTTTCTCTTCAACAACCAAAAGGCCAAAGGGTTGGAGCAATCACTCTCATAAAGAGAAGTGTCCCTCATGGCTCTTCAAAGGAAAAGCTGCCTACTAAAGACAGGATGAAAGGTGAGGAAAGGTCAAAAAAAAGTGGGGTTATTAAGTCTGAAGAAGACTGAGAGGAGGTTGGATCAGTCTTCAACTGCAGAAAGGGTTGTTCTAAATATGACTGTGATCAACTATTCTCTATAGCCAAATGGGACAGGAGAAGAACTGGTTTAAATTTCAAAAAGGGAAATTTAAATTTCATATTAGGAAGAATTTTCTGGCTATGTGGATGGTTAGCCACTGGAACAGATTACCTAGAGAGGTTGTGGAATTGCAGTCACTGGAAATTTTTAAAGGCAGGTTAGACAATCACAGACATGTTCTTGCTTTCAGCTGAGACCTGGAGTAGATGATCCCCTGAAATCTTCTCCTATTTTTCTATGATTCTATGTGCTCTTGAGAACAATCAGCTACTCCCAAATCCAGTTAATTCACAATTATTTTGTTTTCTTTCAAACATATCTCAGGGTACTCTTAGATCATCCAGGCACAAGATCTTTCCATTTTCATTCATTATGTTTCCCAACTACGCTATCGCATTCACACATTCCTAAAAAAATATAGTAACAGACTTGAAATTCAGCAATGATTATTGGAATAACATACATTGCCTGCACTTAGCTTGTAAGAATAAACAATGACAGCAACAAACCACAGGAGAAGCTGCAAATCAAAGGGTCCCCCTTCATTTGAATTTCCATCACCTTTACTTTAAACAATGGTAGAAGACAAACCCTAATTTACAGCCTAAAGATAGATTTAGGAAAAATGTGCTGACTGTCTTATCTGTGCTTTGTGTGAAGTAGGATACTTTGGGAATAATTAGTGTTTGGAAAGCAAATTTTCTGATGTACAAATTGTAGCACCTGTGACAGATTTAGATTTTGTCAGCCAACTCCTAGTACAACACGCAGCAACTCCCATTTAATCACAGGCTAGAAAGGCTAAATGAGAACATTGACTGTGTTAACTGCATGCCTAGTCCTAACAATGTCATGAGAATAACTGTTGCAAAAAGACATTATACAGGCTGTACCAATACAGTGTGCTTCCATTTTATCTAAAAATATAGAGTCAGTTGAGATGCAGTTAAAAATTCAACAGCATCCAGCAATAAACAGAGTGAATTGTAAATTAAAAAGTGAAAACACCAAAATTGGACAAGGTAAATCAATAGCAACAAACATATGTGTACATTTGAAATAGTGCTAGAAAATACAGTCTGCATCAATTCTTCTGATATTTGCTTATAGGATCTTTATGCAATTCAGTAAGGTAATTTGAAACGTATGAGAACCTACTCCATACAGCTAAATAATCTTGTTTACCAATCTACTGTCACACATTACATCTGTCTTTACTTTTGTATTCAGAAACACTTCAAAGAGAGGCAAATACATTTTGTTCATCTTACAATATACAGGTTAGTTGGTCTGTTTGCAACTCCATGGGGTTTTTTGGGAGGGGTGAGTAAATGGGGGAGCGGGGTAACATTTTTATGGCATGGAGGAAAACAAAAAGAACCGCAGTGTTAACAAGTAAATAAGAAAAGATAATACAAAGATAAATACAACATAAAGCTATAGTCATCATATCATACAATACTATCTTACCTTTGTCCATTGCCTTTGAGCTAGACTGAGACCTTAGGCACATCCTAAACAAGAGCTGTTATATAAACTGTACCACCCTAGAAACAGCCTTGCTAGTTCTTTTAAAACTACCATGGTACATCTACACCCATAGATAAGTGCAAACCTTTGGACGGCAGTGTAGACATATCCAGAACCCCAATTCCATCTGTGCTTCCCTCAACTTAAATTAGAGGAAAGAGGAAGACTGCTGAATCGTACCTACAGCAATTACAACACCTCCCTTCCTAGGAATAGGAGCTAAAACTCTATCCCAACGCCATCCACTAGCTCAAGGAGAGAGCAAGCAGAGACATAATACCTGCTTCCCCTTGAGCAAACACACTCTCAGTCTGGGTAGCTCATGTGGGGCTATAAAATAAGTTGTTATTATTCTCTTGAGTGGATATTTAAGCCACAATTTCACCCATATATTCTAGGAAAAAAGAACCAAAGTAAAAAGAAAGGAAAGGAAAGACGATACTCAAATCACAGCAACCCAGATCTAAAGTGCACTTAGCTCAGCTCAGAATGAGAGTTAAAGTGGCTTTAAGCATCTTATTCATAAATGCGTGGTACTGAAACCATCCTGTCATCAGCCAGTCTCTGACACAATGCTGTACAAGCTACAAAGGCTGCTCTAAAAGCTAGGGCACATTGGAGAGGAAGGGAAGTCTATGATACCCCAAGACTCTCAGCCCTAAGCCAGGTGCCAGGAAGGATGGTGGCATAGAAACCTTTGTAGCAGCCTTACATCCTGGCGGGCTCCTCTACACAGGGAAAAATCGAACACTAACAAGGAGAGCTGGCTTCAGACTTGATTCACAATATGGGGGCAGTACAAAGAATGCTCAGCAAGGTTAGGGATCTGGCTTAGAGTGCCATACAGAAAAAATATTAATCAAAGGTACATCACTGACACTTTTCTGTGTGTATAAATATAGCTCTAGCCAACACTCAACTGAAATTAGCCAATCCTCATCTTATTTTATCATTATAACTTTTTAAAATCTAGCTTCTCTTTGCAGGATTATAATAATGAAATATGGTAGAAACCTTTGTATTAAAAAAAACTGAATGCAAGCAGTCATTTCTAATAACATGTAAAAGGGTTTTTTTCTTTTTCCAGAAGCTCCTGTTTGGCAAAATAATATTACAGGAATTACACCAATACCCAAAGGAAACCAGAGATCAACCATATCACAGGTGCCAATTTCAAGAAATTTGCAAAGCAGCAAGTAGGGTCTTGCACAACCCAGAATTAAACTATAATTCTAATGCTTTCTCAAATAACACATTTAATCTCTAAAGAAAATTAAAAGCCTTAACGCTTTGGTAACTAAATTATCACCTGAATATTGAAGCAGATGGCTTAAGTATTAGAAGAAATAGAAAACACAGTCAAAATGCTAAAGAATTTTGACAGATGTTTGTAGTAGTGCCATTACCGATTAAACTTCTGGGCCCTTTATTGCATTAGATATTTTTATAAGTCAGATGACTCATCTTAAAGAAGTCTTTTTATCTCTTTGCAATCTGAGCTCTCTTCCTACTGCTAGGGATTGAGCCTTTTGGGCTGGAAAAAATGAGCTAATTCCTCCAACCAGAAATGCTAATACTTATAATTAGTAAAAGGTGGTGGCTGATACACACTTGCAGGTAGAAAAAAAATATAGAAGAGGGAAAAAAACCCAAATGTGTATTGTACTCCCAGTACAGAATGCAGATCTATCACTGGAAACAGAGAGAGATCTATTGGCTAGGGCAGTAAATTTAATGGTGCCAGCAGCAGCAGCCTCAAGTGTGTTGCGCTGCCTCAGGAGGGCTGTTTCATAAACCAGAAGCAATGTTTAGCTGTATCTGTATGGGAGGGATAATTAACACTGCTGAGCGCCAGCACCAGGTAGCCAGGCCCCAAATTAATTAGCCTGTCTGTGTGGCTGCAACTACACCATTTCTGCATTAAGAATCAGCTGCCTAGAGCAGCACGGTGCTGCCACTGAGGGATGGTAAATTTATTGTATATTCATAGCCATCATGAACCAAATTCTCCTTTGAGCATAATCAGCGTAATGTTGATTGACATTGATGGATATACACAGTGTGCCAGATATACACAAGTGTAACTGAAGTAAGCCAAGTAAGAAAACTAAGAGAAGTTGATTTCAGGACAGAAGTTGATTTCAAGACAAGCTGTACGGTAGCATTCACTTGAACACAATCTACTTCCTCCCCATGAAAATCATGGATTGACACTGCAGCCTACATGTCTAAGATTAGTATCCCTGTCCCCACCCTTGCCCTTCTTTGTGCTTCTGGTAAACAGTTCCCAGGAGAATGACTGCCACATCTGGTTGTACTTAAAGACCCATATGTTTCAAGGGCGCTGGGTACCAAGGAATCCAGGAATGATTGGTAAATGTAACATCTTACCATAAGGCATTCGAATGAAATGCTGACCCTGGTATCCTCCCTTCCTTGAGACTGTTAGCATCAAAGCTGCTGACACTCAAAACACAA